CTTTAAATCACATTTTATTGTATAGTTAACAGAGGAGCTCCAGTAAGGACACATAAAGTTACGTCTCTAAACTGGATTTGCATACATTTTAAACCGTATGCATCTTAAATACAATTACTAAATGTTTATTTAATATCTGGTAAGAAAATCTAATAAGAATTGCATATTTCTGCATCTAGTACATATGAAATAGACTTCTGAGTTATGTATGTGTACTATTGTTTAAGATAATTCACTGTTGTCAACACTGTTTTTATTCGAATGTTTAATACACATAAAGTATCTAAACATAAGTAATCTATTTCATTTGTCCATTAGTATTGTTGAAAAATGGTGGAACAATTATGCTCAACATATCATAGTACAATTGAGCTTATAAATCACAGAGGTAACGTGAGTCTTGTTTGGATGTTACAGGGACGGATGAGCACACGCGGCTGCTTATCCGGTGGAGAGTGGCTCATGAAGCCCTCTTCACCGGAAAGCGGAATGCTGCCATCAAAGGCTTTGAGTGAGTATACAGAAATAATTAAAAATCAATCTAATTGTTTATTTGTAGTATATTTCAACAGAGATATTACAGCACTTTTGATTTCTCTCTTGCTGCAGATCTTTTGTGGAGGAGCAGAGCTTGCAAGGCAAGGTGACGACAGCTTTTGTAAAAAAGAAATGGGAAAATCTTAAACAAAAATACAAAGTAAGATCATTTTGTTACTTCTAATACAGAAATGAAATTATGAAATATTGTGATGTTAAAATGACTGTTCTTGTATCATGCTTGTGCATTTTCGCAGGATCTGAAATGTCCACAGACGGGGGTGAGCACTGAGGATGGAGAGGCCACAGCAGCATCCTGGAAGTGGTACACTGCCATGGATGAGGCAATTGGGAGCAGACCCTCCATCTCTCCTCCTGCCCTTGTTGCCTCATGTGGGCCGGATGCTGCTGCGGCCTCTTCATCCTCTTCATCTTCTTCATCCTCTTCATCCTCAGTGAGGCCAGAGCCAGCAAGAGCAAAGAAGAGGGTGAAAGATCTGGAGGACCTGATCCAGGAGATGGAAGAGAGGGAAGAGGAGAGAGAGAGGAAAGCAGCTGAGAGGGAGGAGAGGCTGTGGAGAGAAATGGAGGAGAAGGAGGAAAGAAGAGAACGGGAGAGACGAGAGAGAGACGAAAGGCAAGAAAGAGAAGTAAGACAAAGAGAAGAGAGATGGCACCGGGAGGCAATCGAGAGAGAGGAAAGGAGAGATAAAGATGCAAAAGAAAGAGATGAAAGATTCCTTTCTGTTTTGGAAATCCTTTCAAAAAAATAAATTCAATGAAAAAAAAAAAATACTATGATCATTTGCGTTAAATTGAATTCAATTATATATATATAAATATATATACACATACACACACAGTACTGTGCAACAACAACAAATGGAAATGGTGGCCTAAGACTTTTGTGCAATATATGTATATGAAACAAACAAGTTCTAGTCATTCACAGTAACCTACATTATAGACTTCTAGGAATTTATTGATGCTTTAAGATTGTGATAAAATTCATAAATTAAATATTTATGAAGTGATGAATAATTAGTGAATGTAACTTGTGTAATGTAAAAAAAAAAAAAAAAACACTTTACAACACTGGTTTTATTGGAATGTATTATATGACTTCTAAATGCACACAGAGCTCATGCAGGGATTTGGTTCAGTTCCAGCACACCTGTCTGTAATTTTCAAGTAGTCAGTTATTAATTGGTATAAATTGATTCAGGTGTGTATAATTAGGGTTGGACAATAGCCCTCCATGACTTAAGCTGAACTTGAGACTGTTTACACAAACTACCTTAAATTTTGCATTAACTAGGGTTAGTGAACCCAAGCAAATAATTCAGTCATTATTTACCACCCTTCATGTTGTATGATCCCTCTGTTTTTTTTTTGTTTTTTTTTTTGTTTTTTGCTGAACACATAAGGTGATTTTGGTCAGGTTTGTACTATTGGTTTAATACAAAACCAGTCAATGGACTTTCAGAAGCTTCAAAAGCATCATTAAATAATGCCATGAAGCTTCTGAAAGTTGGGCTCCATTGACTGATATTGAATGAAACCAGCAGAACAAACTTGAGAAAACTCCCCTTTTGTATTTAAACAATACAAAACAGAGGGATCTAACAGCATGGAAGCACATAAATAATTGTTGTATTTATATGTTTAGGTTCACCTACCTTTCACCTACCAAATAGAAATTGTAGTAAATGTATGTATGCATTTTGTGTTACAGTAATACCTTGACAAAATAAGCAGCTTTGAGCGTTTATGCCTGAGACTGTTTTTAAAAAAAAGCATTATAAAAATCAATCACATTTATGCATTTGCCAGATGTTTTTATCCAAAGTGACTAAATGTATTTCTTACAGGGACAATGACCCTGGACAAACCTGGAGTAAAGAGCCTTGCTGATCGACCAGCAATCTTCTGCTAACCAGTTCAGTGGTTTAGCCCACTACACTACAAAGGTATTAAAGCTCTAACAAATATTTGCATGTAACTGTAAACCTGACAAATTACATTTGTCAAGAAACGGAACGCTGACAACATGAATTGTAAAACATTTTAATCTTTTTAACGTTTTAAATGTAGTCGTGCTCATGGAGAGCAGGCACAGGGATGATTGGAGCAGACACCGCCGCAGCCACATTGTCCCGCACTTGTTCTCCCACTCTTGCTTCAAGGTTGTGGGGATCAGGGGGGCCGTCATCAAGGTCTTCCTCATCCTCTGGCTCAACGATGTCCCCATTGGTTAGAGCGAGATTGTGAAGCACAGCGCAGCACGCCACAACCTCAGGCACGAAGGCAGGGCTCACCTCCAAGGCCTTGAAGAAAATGCATCGCCAGCGTGTCTTCAGCATCCCAAACGCTCTCTCCACGATGTTGCGGGCACGGGAGTGCTTGCTGTTGAAACGAGCCTGCACAGGGTTCTGTACAGGCTCTCTGTAAGGGGTGATGAGGCAGATGGGTGCACTCAGGCAAGGATAGCCTCCATCCCCGAGGATGCACTTGCCTGCAGGTGGATAAATGCCGCCAGCATACAGAGGGCTGTTCCTCAGCACCCTGGCATCGTGCACAGACCCAGGATATCCCACAAAGACATCAAGGAATTTCCCCCGGTGATCAGAGATGGCCTGGAGTTGGATGGAGTGAAACAGCTTCCTGTTGAAGTAACAGTGGGAGTTACTTGCTGGAGGTTTGATACGGATATGACAGCCGTCTATTGCACCAACTGCTCTGCTGAAAGCTGGTGACCCAGACAGCTGTGCAAATCCTGCTCCCACTGCCTCCAGGTCATCTCCGGTCGGAAAGCAGATCACCCTCCTCAAAATTGCAATGATGCCCTTGCTCACTCTGTGCACAATGTTATACACAGAGGTCTTTGGGATATCAAAGGTCTGCGACACCACCGTGTATGATGCTGCATGGGCCAGCCAGTGCAGGAACACAAGGACCTCAATCTCCCGTTCCCATCCATGGTCCGATTCCAGTCTGACTGCAGCAATCAGGGACCTGATGGACGGCAGAGACAGGCGAAGGTGGGCCCGGTGGTCAGCTGCTTCATCAAGATAAAGCCGCAGAATTGGAACCGCTCTATTGAGATGGCAGTATGATGTGGGGTTCACCGCCTGTAAATACATCATAGTTTGTTAAAACAAAAAGCTTGAATTAAGCAATGTTTCGTATGCTATTGACTTGTATATGTATTTCTTTATTGTGATGATATGATATCTTTTATTCATTAATTTATTTTTAAGCATGTTTCATATTAAATATTTATGAATGTTTCAATAAAATATTCATTTAATGATTTCTTGCATTAATCATTGCTTTAAGGAAATTGTATGTATTCACATCAGCTGCATTTTTCCAGTGTGTATTCATACATCTATGTCATATGACAATACAACAGTTTGCTTGTTTTTCCAAAATATATTATTTTAATGTTGAAATTTTATATAATTAAGTGCTGGTCAGCATTTGTCATTATTGTGCACAAGTGTTGGAGTGGGCTAGTAATGCAATTCATTCTGGGGTAATCTTATTTTTTAAGTAGTAATACTTGCTTTGTTTGAGTATAAAGTCATCAGTCTCCTCCAAAGGCGAGATCTCCGAGCAGCAGCCCGACGTCTCCTTTGTGAACACATTCGTCTTACTATTGCAGACATGCCAACCATTTCAGACGCTGATGAAACCCGTTCTTCTAGTGATGTTGTACTAATGCAGTGAGATGTCGGTGCACCTGTTGCTCATAACTTTTAAATTGTTGCGCTTGTGATAACGTCGTAGGTCACATGATAGTACGTCAACATGGCGAATGATATCCGAGCGCATTCATACTCAACGAGATTTGGCTATAAAGTACCTACTCTTTTAGCGCTCGATGAGTAAGTACTTATTGAAATTAAGTACCTACTCATTGAGTATGCGGTTTGGAACGCAGCCCACCTTCTGAAACACCATTACTGTGGACAGCAAGTTCGGTCCGACACTCGTGAAGTGTGTGCAGATACTTTCTGTTTCACCAAACTGAGCTGATGTTAATCTTCAAAATACCTTAAAAACTGTTTTAGAATTAATTTTCTACAAGTTAGTCGTGGATATTGGAAACCTTTTTAGAAACAAACCAATTGTATCACTAATAATGTAATTATTTTTTAATTATATGAGAGTAACAGTAATTCTCTTGTGTGCAAAAGTAGCCAATAAACTGTTCAGATCAGATGTGTGTTCAGCCAATGACATTAATAGTAAATGCACTTCTCGCAACACACACACACACACACACACACACACACACACACACACACACACAGAGAGAGCAACACTTCACTGTCATGGACTGAAATAGTGTCACTATAGCAACGGATGTGAACAGGTCATCAGATGAGAGGAAGTCAATAACCACAGGAGGAGCTGATGATGATTAAAGGAAGAGCCGTAACTATATATAATGAAGAGGAAGAGCTGTCACTATATCTAATGAAGAGGAAGACGGACAGAAGCAGAAATGTCTGATCAGTGTGATCTGTGTCTGCTGGGACTGATCATTCTCTCTTCACTTCTCACAGGTAAAGAAATCTGTATTTTCTCTAAACACATTTAGTGGAATTAGTCTGGAAAGAGTTGATTTGAACATGCTCAGTTTATTCTTGCACACATTCACGTTGTGATCTCAGAGTTGTGTATTGATACACACACGTTATACAAAAAGATACACTTGAGAATCGATCATCCGTTTATTCGTCAACACCAAACGTTACACCACCTCGTTCGTGCTCTAACAACAACAACAACCGCACTTCCGGGAACTTCATAATATGAGTCACATTTTATTCCCGGTAAACAGTCATGTGAAATCTTAAACAATATTCAGCACAGAGGTATAATGTGCATGAACACATTTTTAATGTCTTAAACTTAAACTCCCACTCTTAAAAAAAATTATAATAATAATCTTTCAATTCAGCATACTAACAGGACTGAACAACAACTTCCTTGAACAGAAATACGAGTCCAACTCAAAGACAGACTGTTTTAATGGCTCTGGAAGCCCCAGACTCAATCTGAATAGTTATGCTCAGAGTGTCTCCCCCTCGATGTAACCCCTCCCCATTAAACTCTATGATAATGTGAAGGTGTGGGTGATACAATGAGGCTGATTGGATTACCATCTATACATGACACTGTTATGCTGATGAGATCAGGGATGGGGAATTTCCGGTAACGAGCTGAATCCTGTGCCTCATTTACATGCTTTGTTTCAGAGTGTCTACACCTCTATGTAACCCCTCCCCCTTGTAAGGTGTATGAACACAAAGTATTTTGCCTTTAGTCAGTCTCTCTATGGGATTTTAGCAGATATTAAATGTCTTCAGGAAGAGTTTCTACACATGGATTATAATGTTCTGCTTATTGTTAGCTACACCAGAGCCCGTCTAACGGAGAGCCTTGGCACTTCCTATTAGCCCCGTTGTGGATCATCTTGGTTGCAGTTCCATTAGAATTCCACTGGAGGTGATCGCCAGCGAGAGCAGAATGAATGGGAGTCTATGGGGCTAAACGGCTAAATGTGTCTCTTTCACCTGCTTGTCGTTAAATTAACATAGATTTTATTGTTGATTACGCAAGTTCAATATAGATTATAGGCCAAAAGTCGAATGAACAAATACTTGTGTCCTTTTGATTTCTTACAGATTTCATCACAGTTTTGAACGGATTCTTAGAACAGATAAGTGAACTTAAAAATGCAATTTTCAGCTGAGTGTATTTTCTTAGCCCTCCCTTTTTAATGCAACTTTCAAATTACTTGACAACAAATTACATCCTGAAAAAAGTGGATTTATGGGGGTGAAACCCCATTGACTCCCATTCATTCTGCACTCGATTGTGAGCGCCCCCGCATGGACAGAGACGTGTTACTGCAGCCAGTCCAGAACCCGGAAGTAACCAGCCAGTGCCAATTCTCTTCAATTAGACATTCTCATGGGACTTTATCATAGGGGTGTCCTGACTGATTCAGTGTGATTTCCAGATGATGGAGGTTTTGCAGGATGCATCTGAACACATTCAGAGAATAGCTCTTCTCAGAACAGGTTAAAACACTGATAAAGCTGTGAAGCCCATTTGAGGAAGTGTCTAGAGACTGTGAAACATGCTGTCGAAATGTTCAGCGTTTTCTTATAGCCCAGAGTGTGGTTGTCAACCGTTTTTTTCAGCGTGTCACACTATGTCTAAGTTCAAGTTTCACAGGCCGCATATCATTTACATTTAGTGTCACCAATGCAAACTAACCAGATATTGAGCATTAAGATATCTAAATGATTACACTTACATTTATTATTATTATTATTATTAGAGAGTATAATTCTACTTACCATTACCATTTTAACTACCCCAACTCTACGAACCTCCAAACTCCATCTGAGTCCGTTTCGCCTGATGCCTTTATTTCTGATGCCTTTTTGTCTGAGGCTGTTTCGTCTGATGCCTAATTGTACGAGACCTGACATTGTTTTTCCTGAGACCTGAAGCTTTTCAGTCTGAGGCATGATGCCTTGTCTTCATATGTCTGAGGATGTCCTAAAATGTACACCGTACCACTGAGAAACAGCAGGAGAACAGGGGAACAAATGTATTATGTGCAATGATGAGAAAGAAGAAAAATGAAGCGATCTGGGGAGGAAAAAGGGAAAACTGGACAGAGCCAACACAAAGAAAAGAATAAAACAGAAAGGATCTTTCTCACCCGTTTCAACTAAACCTTCCGAATACAGAAGAAAAATGTAGAAAGAAAAGTCTTCCCTATACTTCCCTACTCTATCTATCAAAAGAACAATGACAGCGAACGGCACATGCCCCTAAACCTAGTGTGTGTAAACTAAATAAATCAGAACTAAGTGTGTCCGACGTATGTCACGTGACATCACTTCCCTTTTATATATGTAGAAATAAAGGCCAGCGCATCAGCCGTTGATTAGCATTATACATACGGGAAAGTAAAAGGAGGGAGTTGTGACCCCTATAGACAACAGTGTGCCGGATGGAAGAGCCGAAGTAAACTTCACAGAACTGCAAGAAAAACAACAACGCCAAAGTTTCCTTTTCAACTGTCGAGTAATTCCCTTGATGTTTATCAAACTTACGGGAGAAAAAGCACACTGATGGTCCACATCCTCGCCGTCTAGAAGCAAAACTGCTCCAGTAACTCCATGTATCCGCGCTCGCATCAACTTACAACTCAAAGAGCGATCCAAACTCAGCCGAAACTGGGCAGCTTTACAACAGAGCTTTAACACTCTCAGATGCAGTCGAGAGGACAAATATCATCATTTAATACTTCTGTTTATATCATCATGATCACTGAGATATACTGTGTTTCAGGAACCAGTGGAGATGATCATCTGTTCATCAGTTCTGGTGTAGATGTCTCTCTGTCCTGTAATAAAGATCTTTCTGACTGCAAATCAACATCATGGACCCACTCTAACAGCTTCGGACATTCATGGGTTAAACTGATTACTGGAGGGATAAAGAATAAAGACACAGAGAGACATGAGAGACTGAGTCTGGAGTCTGACTGCTCTCTGAACATCAAGAACGTCACTGAAGAAGATTATGGATTATACACCTGCAGACAATATGTGAACGGAGAACAACAAGGAAATGATGCTTATGTTTTTCTGCATGTTCTTCATGGTAAGTTTATGATTATGTGTTCAATATAAAAAGAGCAGATTCTCCCTTTAAACTCAGATGATGATTGAAGAGTCTGTGATTTGTGTTCAGTTTCAGTGTCTCCATCATCATCATCTTCATCATCATCATCATCATCATCATCATCACAGACTGAGATCAGTCCAGGCCGCTCTGTGACTCTCTCCTGTCAGTTGTATTTATATTCTGGACTCTCCTGTGATGATTGGGTTCATTCTGGGGGATTTGAGCTGTTGTGGGTGAATCAGGCTGGTGTTGATCTGAAGACAGACTCCAGATATCAGATATCATCATCATCATCATCATCTCCACATCGCTGTATCATCACTCTGACTACAACACTCCTGGATGAAGATGACAACAGAGAGTGGAGATGTCAGCTTACTCAGAGAAATCAAGTCCAGACGTCAGTCAGATACACTGTCAAGTATTCAGGTGAGGAAACAGTGTTAGAAGAGCCTCATGATGTCAGGAACACTGAGGTCTATCAGTATCACTGAACCAGAACAAACTGAGGGAACAAAAGCTTCTTTGACTCTCACAGAAGAGGAACTCAAAGCGTTGCTTTCAAACTAATGAACTGCAGTGAAGTCACAGTCCAACTGTTCACTCTTTATGTAATGTGATGATCACAGTTAAAATATGATGCTCATATTGTACAGTATGAATCATCTGAACTAACATTGATCTTCACAGCTCAAGCTGATTCAACGACAGCAGTGAAATCCAGTCCACATCACACACTCTCAGGATCCCTCAACTATAAACACACACGTTTCTAAAGTACATCATCACTGTCTTTCTCACATCAGTGCTTTTCAGTGCGTAATGCTGGAGTTATCTTCAGTGTTCACTCATCTAAATATGACTGTCATATTCTACAGGACCATTGGCACATTGAGTTGTGTTAGCTTCATTTCATGGACTCGTGTGGTGTGTGTAAACATGTAGAAGTGTGTGTTGACCTGAACTAACACACGTGATCTCCACAGGTGATCCGGCATCAGGAACTGCTGGATTATTATACAGAGGTACGACACGTTGATTTAGACGGACAGCTTTCTAACATTACACTATCAGTCCGTCTGTAAATGCTTCATCAATAACTGTTGATAGATGAAGACCCTTGACTTCAGTCATGTCCAGTTTCTCTTCTTCTTCCTCTCATGTTTCCTGCAGTGATTGTGAGTATTGTTGAGATGGCAGTGTTTGCTGCTCCTACTGTGATTCTTCTTCAGATCATCTGTGCAAGAAGAGCTGGTGAGTTTGAGCCGCACACACTCTGAAGATTCACACTCGTCTGATCTGAACATCTGCAATCATGATAAACACACACCAGAGGGTCAGGCAATGCTTTTATTTTGCAGGGAGGAAGGACTCGAAGCCCCCGGAGGAAATAGAGATGCCCACAATATTACAGTAAAACACTGATGAGTTCACAATCTGCAGCAATATTTACAATAGCAAACACTTTTTTATCTCAATAATACTTTTATTAGGATTTATTTTCATTTCTATGGATATTTGCCTACAGTCATGTTCTTGAGCTTCATCTGTAAACTGCTGTAAATATAATATTAAATACAGTAATGGACAGACTCAGACTGTATAATCGTCTCTCTGTTCTGTGTGATGGAGATGATCTGAGGATTATTGTATTATTGATTCCTCATCTGTTTTTCATGTTGAATGATTGCTACTAATATTCTTAATAAACCTCTGCAGTTGTGTTTAATATGTCTCCTTTCCTGAGATGTTCCCCTTCATGAGCTCGTAATGTATGGTAATATAGAAGAGTAAGTGTGAGTATTAAAGGCTCAAGTGTTGATGAAATATGTGTGTGTGCAGCACTGTGAAACCAGTGCAAGTTCATGAGGAGAGGAGTGACGTGCGTCTCTATAGCTAAAGACCATGTTTCTGAATGACAGACACTAGTGATGACATGTAGATGGAGAAGAGAAGCGGTCCCAGCACTGAGCCCTGAGGCACTCCAGTATCTAGATGAGAACAGTGATGGAGAAACCATGTTTCTGATGATGACATGTAGATGGAGAACATCATTGAGACAGTAGTCAGGAGTTCAGGGAGCCGGAAGTTAAATCAGTGGTGCTTGAGATCATTTGTAGTGTTGATAAAGGAGGCTGGATCAGATCTGTTTTCCTCAGAGTAAACAACACATTATAGTCCATGTGTAGAAACTGGAACTGATGCTAATAATGACTTTTAAATACTATAAAAATTGTTTTAATTCAGGAGTCATGGATAGTGGGAAATAATGTCATGATTTTATTTCTAGAATTGAACGCATGCAGGAAACTGCTCAAATAAGGAAGTGAAACTATCAGTAATGCTCTCGTGTGTTCAGAGCAGATGTGTGTTGCAGTGCACTTCTCAGACATGTTTAACACACATGTAAAGACACTTCACTGTGTCAATAAATATACATGATTTACACACTCATATTGTCAGGAGTGTGACAGCGCCAAAATGTGTGTTACATGGTTGATGATACTTTAACATATACACGTGTAGCGCCTCTCCCTTAGACTGAAGCGGGTTAGTTTATTGTTCGATCTCTCTAAGCAGCCTCTGAATATTATTAATGATTAGGGATGGGAACTGTAATAAAATATGTTGGGTTCCATTAATAATTATTTTAATTTAGTTTAACTTTAAGGAATATTTGGCCAAACTCCATTGCCTCATGATGAGAATTATAATAATAAATAGATTTCTCTTTACAGCGAGGTGTCTGTGGACTGTGCTCTTTACGTAACTTCCGTAGTGTTTTTATAGCTGTGATCTCACTGTTGAGGTCTGGGAAACATGACTCACAGTTTGACCAGAATAGAGCCGTGATCATCTCTGAACACAGTTGATGAGTTTATAGACTGGTTCTGCTGGTTCTGGTATCAGTCTAGAGAGTTGGGGATCTGTCTCATCTGCTCTTTAGTGGACACATGGTTCCTCGAGTTTGGGCCTAATCTCCAGTCTAAACTAAAACGTCAGAAATAGCAGTAATAGATGCAGCAAACATACTAGCATTAATGACATTGATCTTACGATAAGAGATGTCAATATTGGCCATACATTAGTTACACAAGTTAACGTAAGATCAAGGGTAATAAGCTTGTGATCAGAGATAGGAGTAACCAGACCATCAATGGAGATTCAAGCCGGATGTACAAACTCAGTCAAGTGTGTGGCCGTGAGTGTGAGTTGGGAAGTTAACATTTTGATAAAGTTCAAAGCAGTCCAGAAGAGTCGTTAATTGAGTCCTATTTAAACAGGGAGTGTCAACGTGAACGTTAAAGTCACCAAGCAGTAGGGTTGTGCCGATAGACGATAGTATCGTGTATCGACGATAGTCTGACATATCGCCGATGGCAGATGCCTTTGACGATATCAATACGATAATTGGCTCGTTTTACCATAATGTATTAAATTATTATTATTAGGCCAATTATTATTATTATAAAGCTAGAATTGTTATTAAATGAATATTAGGAACTACAATTAATTTGCCTTGCCTAAATTTACAACGACATCACATCACCTCATAACAATTGCAACAACACACGCACTAATGAGGACTCCTCTAAGAGAATGTTTTTAAAACAGACTAAAAAACATCCCACATCAAAATTCAATCGCAAGGTGATCCATTCACAAATTATCAAGTGTGCTCGTTTTAACAGACGCAAAATTCAATTTCCTACAGATCCAAGATGAAAACGGCATCGTTGTTCGTCAGTATTTGTTTCTGTAACACATTAACAAAACGTTTAATGACACTAACACTAAAACAATACAATTACTAAATAGTATTAATAATAACATCACTAAAATATTATTATAGTTACCGTTATCATCGTCGTCTCTGAGGGAACGCGGCGTTAATGCAGATGCCGAAAGCAGTCCGTTTTTACTTTCACTTTCAGAGATAGAGCGCGTTTACATGCGACGACGTTCTTAACATGATTATGTTGAATAAACTTGACAATGCATGTGGTCATGTAAACGCTTCCTTTATCAGAGTCAAGTCATAAGTATAAGTATAAACCGATCGATTCAGCTAGACGTTTGGCCCTTGCTCTTGTTTCTATCGGCATTTAAAACACATTAACCCGCGTACTTCGTGCTTACTGAAGTGCGCATGTGAAGTGCGCAGAGAGCGCACTGGTAGGGGGACACATATCGCAAACTCTGACTCTTTCTGACCCAAGAAATTATTAAAACGTGTTTTCATCTCGTGCAGAAATAGACCAAAATGCTGCATGTAATGGCATGAGAATAGGCTAATGTGTCCGTAAATTTCCCGTTGACAAACAAAAGGATTAGGATCTCTTTTTTATTACTTCACCAGGAAATAACCTGATCCTATTAATAAACACTCCACTTTTGCTAGCAAAATAGAAAAAAAGATTCTCGTATATAAAACGAAGTAGGCTAATAAAACAAGCAAATTAATGCGTAGGCTAAATAATCAAGTTAATAATCAAATAAGTTAGCCCCACCCCCTCACGATAATATCGTGTATCGCCGATCTCACAGGCTGACGATAGGACGATATGAAAATGGAGCATATCGCCCAACACTACCAAGCAGGATGACCTTAGATGATGAATCACAGGCTAGCGTTAGCAGTTCACTTAGTTCAGAGGAAAAAACATTTTGCTGTCCATTAACGATTATTTTAGTTTAGTTTAACTTTAAGAAAGGAATATTTGGCCAAACTCCATTGCCTAATGATGAGAATTATAATAATAAATAGATTTCTCTTTAGAGGGCGAGGTGTCTGTGGACTGTGCTCTTTACGTGATTTCCGTAGTGTTTTTATAGCTGTGATCTCACTGTTGAGGTCTGGGAAACATGACTCACAGTTTGACCAGAATAGAGCCGTGATCATCTCTGAACACAGTTGATGAGTTTATAGACTGGTTCTGCTGGTTCTGGTATCGGTCTAGAGAGTTGGGGATCTGTCTCATCTGCTCTTTAGTGGACACATGGTTCCTCGAGTTTGGGCCTAATCAGACTGTTTGGATAGTCTGTGAGATCACGTAGGGATGAGACCAGACAAAGAGGTGAAGGTTCTGATAGGCTGAAGCAAGTTGATCACATGCATGCAGGGAGTATGGCGGGCGACGCGGCGTCTCGTTCCCTCTTAGGGAACCAGGGTTACAGTCATAACCTGAGACGCTCCCTTTCAAGGGAACTCAAGCTGGGTCGAGACCAGCAAATGCCTGCTCTGTGTGAAGTCATTGCGCACACTAAGAAGCAAACACCCTAGACCCCGGAGTGGAGCCTAGATCCAACTCATAGCCTTTGAGGCAGCCGTACTCCTAGTGTCTTGGTCAGACGCCTCACAGTACCGCAAAGGAAACGTACTACAGGGTGTCTCCCCAAGGATACGTGGCCAGCAGCTAAGGCCGCCATGTACACCTTTAGTGTGGAGGGGATAGACCTGCGGGAACTCCAGCACTGCAACCACAGGGCAGATAACTGGGTCCAGCTGGTGCTCTCCGAACCAGTGAACAATCTCCAGTTCAAGGTGTCGAGTTTCCTCGTGGAGGAGCTCTGGAGTTGAGGATGGCCTCAATAATCTAAGAGTCGAGAGACCTGAACTTATGAGCTCAGGGGACCCTCAGAGGACAAGCCCAAAGTTTCCTCAATTCTGGGCGGGAGGAAGGATCAACTGGAGTCAGTTCTTCAGGAACCAGCACACACAGATGTACGCCAGACATGGGCTTCAGCTCTCGCACTCCTCGTGTCCAGCCACTCTTGAACAAGACACAGCGGCAGAAGCGCCTCGCCTGGGCTGAAGACAGAAGGACTGGACCGCTGCCGAGTGGGCCAGAGTCATGTTCTCTGATGAAAGTAAATTCTGCATTACCTTTGCAAATCAAGGTCCGAGTCTGGAGGAAGAGGAGCGGCACAGAATCCACACTCCAGTGTAGTCTCCACAGTCAGTGATGGTCTGGCCATGTCATCTGCTGGTGTCGTCCACTGTGTTTTCTGAGGTCGAAGGTCAACACAGCCGTCTACCAGAAAATAAAAGTGTGCAAGGTCGTAATCAGTCCTTCACTGACCAATCAGCAGAATGCTAGCGTATTATGGGTAACAACTCAAGCTGTAAGAAATGAAAAGGATATAAGAACTCGTTCATTCAACTTTCGACCTATAACCCATGTTGAACTCGCAAAACCTACGATCAAATCTGAGATTTCTCAACAACAATCGGGTGAAAGAGACGCATTTAGCCGTCTAGCCCCATAGAGTCCCATTCACTCATTCACTCACAGCACAGTAAAGCTGTAAATCTCGATTCCCTCCTGAACATTTGATCGTCTTTTACTTTAATCTGATGTTTTATCTCTTTCTCTTATAGTACTACAACTGTAGAATACTTTTAAGGCCCTGTTTACACGAGAACGCTCGCGGGTGAAAACTGTAAAAAAGTGAAACCACCGTCCAGAGTGGAAATCTTAAAAACGCTCCACCGCCGCGTTCCCGTTTAAACGGTAAAAACACAAAGTCTGCTTGACAGTGAAAGAAGTATATTTCAAGTTCATTTTATGTAGTATACTTAAGTAATGTTCAAGTATATTTTTAAGTATACATTATGTAGTAAATATACTAATGTCACTATGTACTAGTAGTAAACGTGTAAATGTACTATTTTAATACCGCTTGGGACTAAATTGGCCCACTTTTAGTACATAAAAGTATATGTTT